CCCTGTTAGAGTTTCCTGTCCACCCCTCTGATGGCTCCCCCCTTTTCCTGGAAACTGAGGACAGAGTCCACACACACACCAGGCAGCTGCAGGGCCACAAACACACACACACACACATCTTCCTCTCTGTTGCTGTTTTTCTCTACACCATGCCCACACCCCTCCAACAATAACCTTTCATATTCCCTCTATCCACCCCTTACACCAAACCACAGCTGCTGCCCTCTTTCTCTTTCAGATAAACCTTAGAAAGGAGAAGTGACAGGGGGTGTAGAAGAGGTCTCCTCCCTTTCATCTTTATCTGTCCTTTCTCTCATCGCTTCTTTTTCTGCTTTTCTAAGAATGTCCGGTCACCACAGACAAGATAAGCACAAGAACAGGTATATGTCTTAACACACATACATACAGAGGACTACTTGCAGGAGGGCCATGCAGTTATTGTTCTCCTAATGGTTCCTGTTGACCAGATTTCCCCTGCTCTCCTCCGTCTTCCTCTCTGCACACAGAAGCTATGGTAATTCTTAAAACCCACCTAATAATTCAGTTGACCCGAGGTGTTTACACCATCGTCACACTTAAAGTCACACATACAGAATAGTACGCGGCCCACTGAACAAGGGCTTCACCGAGCAAGCATGCACAAAGAGCTAAAATAGGCAATTGTGCACCAACATACTGGTATATAACCTGTCATGGTGCAGAATGAAACACAAACTAACATGTGTGTACTAATGTTCACCATTGTCTGCGTTTATGATAACAAATTCGGTTTCTGTTTCACTAAGCCACCAACATTAAAGATACTAGGGTAAAGTGTGTGTGTATGTGACTGTGTGGGTGTGTGGTGGTGAAGAGTGGTATATAGAGGTTGCACATTCAAATTGACACACGGCATACTTTTAGGTGTATGTGAGACAGAAGTCTGCATAAGTACTGATCGCGCCACAGTAATTTAAGAACAGCCTGAGTTCCTCTTTGCCTCTTGAAACCAAGTAGGGAAAATGAGCGACAGTAAGTAACAAACACACATAGTTTAGCTTAGTTTCAATTATTTAAGTATTTAAGGTGATGAACGTTACAGTGATATTCATAAGCAAACTGAGTACAGAGTTTATACTGCCATTCACCTTTTCTAAAATAAGTTAACCCTCCTGCCACCAGTTGCAAAACCTGCATATGGTGTAACAACAAAATGGCACAGTCATTATTTCTATAAGACGCTAGTGTCATAAAAACTCACCTCTTACCACAGTAAACACCAAAATACTTTACCAATATTTCATTTAAATTTAGACCCCTTTTTCGTCTGTTTGCCGTTTCAAAACTAAACTTCACTTCGCTGGTTGGCTGCTGAAGGTCAAAGCTGATTTTTTTATAGCAGCTGACAGAAGAACTAATTAGAACACTCTGTGAAACAGAAGCAGCTTCCTCTGGTGGGGAGAAGTTGGGTATTGGTTTGTGATAAGTCTGTCTGCAACAACTGGCCATTTTACAACACAGATTACTACTTCACATTTATTAAATAATGCACATCAGAGTTCATGTCATTGACAGTTTTTCAAGGGATGTGTCATCCAAATTACAAAAAAAATGGTGGTATGAAGCAAATACTTTTTTGGGTGTTTTTTTTTGGCCCAGGTTTTGAAATATCCGCCTCCACCAAAATAAAATGGAAGTGAATTTTGAAGTTCACAGAATTCACTGGAAATACTTTCTACTATAGAAGTTGTTGCTAAGAAACCTGTCCTCTGTATGTTCAGTGAATTTTCCAGAATGACAAAATGTCTCTGACAAGAATTGTCTCTCAATGCTGTGAGTGCCACACATTTAATTCAACTCCGCTGTATTAAGTTGGAGGCAGAAAGCTTGAATACCTGAAAACCTGGCCAAATAAAATCAAACTATATGCACAGCTGTATCTTTGTTTTTTGGTATTTAGTTAACCGAACCTTTGAGTTTAATCTATTGAAAAAGTATTCTGAACAATTATGTACAGTAAGAAAATGCAAAAATGCACCCAAAGTAAAAGTACTCTAAGCAAAATGGCCCCTTTTACACTACTGCAGAATAGTATATTTGTATATTCTATAACAATATAAAGACACCTACAAAGCATTAGCAGGCATTCTTATAAAATCACAATAACATCACCTCCGTCGTCATACTCGCAAACATCTAAATCCAAATGACACACCCTTTCCTGCACAGTTGACCTGCAGATAAGCTGCTCCCAGCGGGGAATTCACTGCGGGAACACAGGGCAACACACACACACACAATTGTTCAGATCTGTCGTTACTGTACTTCTAAATCAGCTCTGTGTTCTAAGCGCAGACTTTCTCCAATCCTCCTCCTCCTCTTTTCTAGTTCCTCCATCTCTTTTCTTACCTTTCTTTTTGTCTCTGACTCTCTCCCTCGTTAGCAGGAAGTCCCACAGGATGCAGAGTGTGAGTGGAGCAGGAATGATAGGACAATGGGAAGGCAAGCTGTCACCCAACCCTCACACACATAACACACACTCATAGAGTTCACACACACACACACTCAGAAGGGATGGGGGGGTTGGGGGCAATGGAAAAATAAGGTGTCTCGGTCATCGGGACGTCCTGTTTCCACATGAAATCATCATATCCTCCAGATACAGAGGACTGAGATGGCTCGTTGGAATGGACACAGACATTTACATGAATTGAGTAACTGAATTGAAGCGGCCTAATCCTGTTTTTTAAGCATTAGGAGCTCGGGGCCTGTTCCTTTGTGAACAACAAGAAGAAGAGTCATAACAGTGGCTGAAAACCGCAAAGACCCTGATCGAAATGGCAGACTCAACTGACACTATCCATCCAGGGGTGTCCGCAGGTGCTACCATCAGGCTGCAGGTTGCTTGGTGGGAAAACTGTGTGATGATGGTAACATCCATTTCAAAGAGCTCCCACTCCCCCCAAAAATCTTCACCCCCCCTTCCTTCCTGCCTAGCCCCGAGGCTAAAGACAGGAACTGACCTCGTAAAGAAACAGGAAGTGATGAAGTCCGTCCTTGGACAGCCTAATCGCGTTTTTCCCCATCCCACCCGCATAATTTCACAAAGCCCTCTTCCCTTGAAATGAGTAGTGAAAGAAACATAAATGTTAATTATTTAAAGGAAGGTGGTGGTGGTGGGGTGTTAATGTGCAATCTCCCTGCAGCCTGGCATAATGAAAGAATGAACACCTACACCAATCTGACATGTTAAGGAAACATCCAGGCCTGCCTTTTCCTCAAGGTGGCTTCCTGTAGGCCTGTTGCCAAATAAATCACAGTCACGTTCACCGAAGAAATATGCTGGCTCTGGAGCAAATTAAACAAAGTCTTTCACAGACAGACATAAAGCCATAAGCCTAAATCATTTTTGAAAGTCAATGAAGTTTGACAAATGTGCAGTACACTTACAGACAAAAACATCCAGTTGATCCCTGATGAATCAGCCAAATGATTAGTTATTCTTTGACCTTTTACATTTCACAATAAATCTATTATTGTTATAACATTATACACATATAAGCCGTGCCTATAAATAGTAGGGCTCTGACTGGAAGAGATCCTACATTAAAGGACTTCTCACTAAATAATCGGGTAAATTCCACTTTTTCAATAATGCAATGTTGGCTGTTTGATTTCTCCTCTGTGGTATCAGTCCAGCATGAAGAGTGGAAGTAAGCTACTGGCAGCCGCACTTAATTAACTTCTCACAGGCAGTTACCCAAACTTCCTTTTATCTAACAGTAAACACTCCAAAGTTACCCAATTTTCACAAAATCTGAAAACACACTTTTTTTTACTTTTCTTTAAAAAAAAATTTAAAAAAAAAAAAAAGGTACAGGGTGCCCTGGGGTGGTGGGCTGCTCAAAATACTCATCTAGGTTTGTTTGGCACTTCATTTTTATCTTCCTCGGTTAAATATACACTTGAAGTTCTCCGTATGTAGTCAGAACTTCAGGCGACTTCCTCCACCCAAACAGAGCAAAGCAGTGAAAAAGTTCAAAGTTAAACCCATTTAATAAGCAGTGTTGGAAAACTACCTCTCCATATGCATCATCCTTTACGTGAGGGTTCCCACGGTTTGCTGGGGTAACATTTCTTCAAACACCACAAACCACTCATTCTTTAATAATAAAACTATAAAGTAGCCTATATCGTGCTATATCATTTGATAAACAGAGCAGACATACCTGACACAAATCTGTCGTTATCCCGGAGGATCCTGGAGTCAGGCGCACGGGAACAGACACTCGCGAGGCGCACGAAGAAAAGCCGCGCGCTACTGCGCTGAGCAAGTGAGAAGTGACGCCTCATCCGGAAGGCTTGGGGAACGGACTTGACGCGCGCAATGAGGTCCACCCAAAGGGACGTGCGCGTGCAGTGGACAGTTGAAAAAGGGACCGGTTACATTAATAGAAACTATTTAAAAACTTTTTTTAGAAGTGCGTATAACCAGCTTTTTTCTGCCAATTTATGGATAGTATATACCCCGAGTAATTATTGTCCTGTTAAATTTAATTACGCTACTTCACACATGCAGCCACGTTGTCTTCTTTCTGATCACAGTGCAAGTGCAAGAAGCGACACATTCGCTCCCTGGTGTGAGCTACAGGAAGACTGAATAAGATGTGTGATATCCGCGAGCAAACTATAAGCGTAGGCTACAATCAAAACTGAGACGGTGTCTCCTTTGTAGTGCTCACTGATGAGACGCCACTTTTTTATCCTGTTAGCTATTGTTTTGATAACGGATTACATCATGGGTTATCACCAGGCCATGCACTTTCAGATGTAACTCAAGAAAGAGGACAACTGTATTGACACACTATTACGATTCACCTTGAAGAGAACTGTGGTGACGTTTCACATTTCATCAAGTCTTTGTCTCCATCTTGTGGCGCGTCAAAGAAACTCTTTCAGCGACACTTCCACAAGACTTGTATTTTCATCGGTCTTGACATTCAGATAAGCAAAAACACTTGTTTTAATTTTGATAACAAAGTAACTTTTTATTGTATATAAAAATACAAGTTATCTCAGATGAATGAGTAGACATGATGTAGTGAACAATCGCTGAGTGACACGATTGTGCCCCGAACAGACCTGTCAAATAAACAAGGAGACTTCTGCAAAGGAAACACTTGAATCATGATGACCACACCTAATTCCACCTGCATACCTGGCATGTAGCATGTAGATATGTTGACATAAGACATTCAAAACAACATGAGGCTCAAGTGAGAAAACAAAACCACCATCCATTTCAGTGCAAAATAAGTAACACATTTTAAAATATCAGATATCCCAGTCGGAAAGCAGCATCAAAACATTAACACTGAAACATAAGATATGCATACAGAAAACATTCAATTTAGTCTACGTGTGCAGGATTGTTAATCCATGTTGTGTTGTGCAATGGGCTGTGGCACCGTCACAGCTGGCTCAGCATCTGCAAAGTGTGTGTGTGTGTGTGAGAGAGAGAGAGTGAGTGGGTGTGTCATCTCATGTAATGTGTGATGGCTCGTAAGGTATAAAGAAGGGCTGCTTGTAGCCGGGCTTCCATCACTATTAGGTTTGCATGAACCTGAAAAAAAAAATAGGATGTTATTACCTACAGGTTACTAGGTGACACACTTTCAAGTCCTGTCTGTAATGCTTCCCTTCTCTAATGACAATTAAAAAAGGAAGGTAAACGAGGAGACAAGCTGAAATGTCAAATGATTCACTCTTTGAGGAGGTGCCAAAGAGAGAAGACACGGTAAAATGTCATAGTCATTGCGCCGGTCAGGTGGTGTTTGAACACGCTCGTACCTTTTCTGAATGTCTGAAGCGTCTCCAGAAGGCGTGGTAGATGCGTGCCGTGGTCTGCTCAGGGTGACAGGCCATGGTTTTGACAAACACCTTCAGAGAGCGTTCCAATAGCACATTCACGCTGCCATAGTCGTAATCATCGTAGCTGCACGGGTGCGGTGATAAAACGTTAGCGACAGAGCAGAGACAAAAACCTATTTCATAGTTAGTTGATTAGGCAATTTTTAGGTGCGACACTGACCGTATCCCGTACAGACAGTGGATGTAGTTCCACAGAGCTTTCCTCAGAGTGTGAGTGTCCACACCTTCATGCATGGCCATCCTGTTGTAGGTCAAGTTGCTCACAACCTGCAATGGCACCATTTAATCTCATTATAATATGCTCAGTCAATCATTAGTTAACGTATATGCTTTTCTGCAGTCAGAACAGGATGCCAAGGAGTCATTTCATCATCTGGTTCCCGGGACACCCACTTGAACCGGTTTGTGTTTTTCCACAGATTCTACTAAATTTGGTTAGTAAAAAAAATTAATTACACAAAAAATATGGAATTTGGGAACAAATAAACTGAAACTGTAAAAATTAAAACTGATTTCATAGGGCCCTAGTTTAAAAGTTACATCACACACGAAAAACTCACTGGAGTGCATCAACATGTCATGTTATCCACACATCAGTGTTTCAGCTTCTTATCAGATTATTGGTGTTTATTAGTGTACTTCTACTAGGTTAAAGGTGAGGGTACCTGGAATTTTTCATCCAGGAGCTGGCCCATGTCTGGCAGCAGTCTGTTGACCAGAGAGAAGCCGTGGTCCTCCCATGAATAGTCCTGCATACATCAGACATCAAGTCTATGACCCAGCGCAAACAATTAATAGGCAATGTACACTGTAAATAATAATAATACTTATAACAACAATATAAGTTACACTAATATAAGTATAACTTGGGAATGTGTGTCCCAGAAATGCTCCAAACTTACCTGGGCTCTCATGGTGGGCGGTGACTGCTCTCCTCTGGGGGCAAAGTCCTCGTATCTGAACTCTGGATCCTCCACCAGGCGCAGCACCAGGTCAGGCGGTGCTCCTCGCACCACCGCTAAACAAACACGACAAAGAGGAAGTAGTGAGTAAACAAATGTCATCCATGTGAATAACAAGAGTGAGCACTAGATAAACAGGCGTGTTTGTACCTGTCGGTATGCTCTCGCTCCTCTCCCTCTCAAACCGAGTAACCATCTCCTCCTGCGTGCGCTCCTCCTCCTGCTGCTGCTGAAGCTCCACCATCCTCTTCATCAACACCTCCACCTCCATCGCTCCGTCAGCCAACTGGAGAGGATATAAAAAAAATAAAAAATCAGGGCTTGAGGAACGAACTTAGGTTTTGTTTTTCAACACTGTGAATTGAGCCGTGTCTTCTATTGTCACTAAACTGGTGTGACTGGTGAAACAAAACTGGAATCAACCAAATACCTCCTTCTCCTGGTCATGGGGTCATTATTAAATTTAGACCTGTGGTGAAGAACAACTGTTTGACTCACCTCTTGTTTGCCGTTCTCATGAGCGGGGCTGTGAGGGCTACGAGGGAGGTGACTGGGCGATGGAGGTTGGAAGGTATAACCTCCAATGTGGTCGGGTTCCGGGTTTAAGCCGCAGCCCCACACTAAAGAGCAGAGTGAGTGAGCGTGTGCCATCAGGACCACAGCGTGTATGAGTTCAGCCAATGACCAGCGAGGCTCTGCTCCGGGACAAACCAGCTCCTGCGGGGCAGAGGGGAGGTTGTTGGTAGGTAAAGGATGTAAAGGGAATTTCAACAAAAAATACTTCTGAAATAAGTTGCCTACCACAGCTTTCCCTTTTTATCCCGCACCTACATCAGGTTAAGATTTTAACTTGTCCAAAACGAATGACATTGCCATCAGCCTCAGCTGAACTGTGTTTAGTGTCGATTAGCAACTCTTAGCATGCTAACACACTAAACTAAGATGGTCCCCTGATAAACACCCGTCAAGCACCACCACTGTCACTGTGACCATGTTAGCATGCTGATGTTAGCATTTAGCTGTGCACCGCTGTGCCTAAGCACGGCCTCAATAAGCAGATAGCATGGCTGTAGACTCGTACTGTTGTTAAGTTACAACCACCATATACAGAGGAGAATCCATTGAAATTAATGCCTAACAATTTAGTTTACTGCAGTATCACAAAACACAAGGAAAGACTTAAAAATATCACAAAGGTTGTATTTATTAATTGAGCGCTGCCTTAGGAGTAGAAAATATTGCTTTAATAATATATATTATATTCTTCCTGTGTGGTGGAGGTAAACTAGCTTGCTATGGATCACTGGCATGAAGACTTACAGGATTATACAGGTCAGTCAGGTTCTGTAATACAGTGTAGTTAATATTGTGTCCACTCTCTCTTTCTATGCAAGTGCTGTGTGATGCCACTTTATTTGAATGTCCGCATTCTGAGTGTCTTTATCCACAAAATTCCCACCAAGGAACAAATGTACACTACTTTCTGCGTAAACACCACAGTGCAATGCATCACATTTTAAAGAAGCAAAACTACACCTGTCACTGATGCTGCAAAATGATGATTCATAAGTGTCCAAAATATGAATGTACTACTCGTAAAAGAACTATTGAGTGTTTAGTGAGGGAATCATTTGATTACATCATTTTACTAGGACAGACTATGAGCAAAAGAGAACGGGAGAGTGTGTAGGTGTGGTGTCTGACCTGGATGTGCTGCTGTGTGATGAGCCAGGGTCTGTGTGCCAGCAGCCTGTTGAGTGTTTGCAGGCTGCGGAGTTTGGTGGGAGCGTGCTCGAGGCCGCTCAGCCAGCTTTCCTCCCCTCCAGCCTCTAGGAAGCCCGCGCTGTGTTGCTGCACCAGGTACGTACAGTGGTGTCGAGCCGCAGCCTGTGAGACATCGGGAAAAGAGGAGCGAACCAACATGACTCCCAGTCCATTAAAATTAAAGTTCAATCATTGGTCTGTGTGACAAATACATAATGCATAAGATATACATAAAGGGCTTGGAGGTTAAGGCCACACAACGGAACTCCTCCACCTGAAGATCATTCTGAGTCTAATGACTGGCATTTCTGATGTAAGAGGGCAGCTAATGTGATGTGTATATGAGCGATGAGAGTCATTAAATGTTTATAGAGAGGATTACAGTGTTTGGCTGAGCAGAGTGGCTCGCTATGATACAGTAGTTGGATAACCCTCAAGAAGACAATGACCTGCCAAGTCTATTTTGCATCGGTGCTGTTCCTGCTTGGAACAAGATCATTCAATTTTTCCTGATTTTTAGGTTCCTACAACCTAAAACGTTTCCGTCATTAGAGCACAACTTTTAATATATATCAGGTGTGTCTCAAATCCACCCCTTGTTCAGTTAGTAATCAGTCAGCATTCAGAGAGCTGGATTTCAGCCATAGCTGTACAAACTATTACCCAACTAAACTAACTAACAAACAAAAGGTGCATTTGTTTGTCAGGTGACCCTTTTCACAGCTGCATGACATGGACATGAAGCAACCTTTTTGCAGCTGCAGCACACAAAATGAATAGGAAGTTTGATTGGAAGGGTCCAGTGCTGACATTATTGTTCATTACAGCTGAACTGACTGGGGCTGTAAACACTGTTGGCTCCAGTAGAAACAGCTTTTACAGAAATAACTGTTTAACTGCAATATCTGGTTTTGTCCAACTACCTGCGGAGGCAGGAATAATGGTTTCGCCATGTAGACAAAAATCATTAGATTTGCGTGTATAAAAGGAAAGAAATCACAAAAACACTTTGGCCCTAAACTCCTTCACCAAGAGAGGACTTAATAGCTGTAGAGTCTGCCATTATTTTTAATATAAAAGCTGTTAGTCATGCAATATCAAGCTAAAACTTTAAAAGGATGCACCCACTGTATCTGTAGCCTTTCACAAACCAATTACAGGCTTTAGAGCGTTTATAGCTGCTGTTATTGCTGCCTCATTTGACACAACAGCACATAATATAGATGCAAATAATCACAAGACAAACACATGTTCACTACCACTTTAACACTTCATTTATGAATTAGATCAGAAAGTAATAACTGTTTTGACATTATGATTTAACCTGCAGTGTCACTCCTTGCGGCATTAAGCTCTGCACACCATGATGGAAAAGCTAAACAACAACAATCATCTATTTATAGCAAAAGGATAGGATTTATATGTATGCATCTAGTCCAATAATGGTTGATTGTACATGTACAGATCTACAGAATACACAGCGAATCAAATGGTTCACTATTAATGAACACTGCTTAACATGTTGTTCTTACATCTGTCATGATCTGGGAAATATACTGAAATATTAAGAGACTAGCAATAACTTTGAAGAGCAAATACACCAATCAATGCAACAATATCACATTAGAAACTGCATGTTTTTTTTTCCCTTTTGTCAACAGCAATTTGTGGATCTTCATTTGAACTGCTCTTTGATTGTATCTGTTTAAGATATAGTCAACGTTCTACTGTTGCTGCAGCCACTGGCCTTTAAAAATCATATATTGTGGTTTTCCTACCATAATAGCAATGTAGTGTCTCCAGTGACGGGGCAGGGGGCCGTCCAGCTCCAATAGAGCATGCTGGGTCCTCAGGAAGCAGCTGAGGTAGGCAGGGTGCAGCGCCATCACCATGGTGACATGGTCCACGCGACCCAACGAAAGAAAAGATTCGATAAGGATGTCCTGGTCCGGTCCTTCTTTCAACATCTGAGGAGGAACAGCAAAATAAAAACACGTGTTCAAAACTGACAACAGATTCCACAGGTTATATTTTTACTACTAAACGCTTGAGGACAGACTGCCAAGGATTCGCTTAAAAATCTTTCGCTTATGGCCGGAAATAAGCAGCCTTGAAGGGCTGACACAACACTCCCACTTTCTCCACTGGAAAGCTGGGAATGAGTCACATGTTATGCAAACAGCATTTTCAGCCATCAGCTTTGGCAACACATGTCTGGTGTTGCATCTCTTGATGACATGGACATGAAGCAACAGGCACTGCAGTATTGCAGCAGAATAGTTCGCTACACTGCTTATACTAGCACTGAATTAGGGATTTGCTAACAACCTTCACAAGTACATGTATTTATTTTTCCATGGAAGGAGATTTATAGTAACAGCTGGCACAAACACATATGCACAGATTTGACTGTTTATCATGACGCCAGCCTGCAAAGAGCCAAGCAGAATCTCAGGTTAAGATAGGGAGGCCAGCTGTGTGCCGTGCTGAAATCAACACATCTCCAATATGAGCAGTTTCATCAATAAACATTATATGGCAACAAAGAAAAACTGGTGACCAAAATTAAGCACTGCCACATGCAATTTACTATTGGAAAGAAATTTCACACTCTCGCAACACTTTACAAACCTGCATTTAGAAGACAATAACAATTGTCTTCCAAATGCAGGAAATCTCATCTAATGGTTAATATGTTTAATAATGGAGCCCGTTTAATGTTTGTGAATTAATTCTTTAAAACTTTTAAAAACAAGCTATACACACCTCTTTTGAATGCATAAAGGCACTTGGACCTGAGGCCAGAGCCCGTGGTACTTCAACTCCTTGATCCTAGAGGTAAGAAGAAAACACAGAAAGTTAATTATACAGTAAAATAACAATAATTCTGACAATTATCTCATTTAATCGTTTGATCTATTTAATGTCAGAAAGTTGTAAAAAAAAAAAATGCTGATTGTCATTTCCAGAAGCAACAGGATGTCACTGACAGTCCAAAACTTAAAGGACATTGGAGGTTATTATCACATTAAACAAAGAAAATTCTCACAACAGAGAAGCTGGAACTATGGAGTGTTGATCAACATATTGATTAAATCTGCTACTTGTTTCAGCTTTACATTGAAATGTCTAAAATATGTTTATAGATTAATTCCTATTAGTTTTTAAAGGCTTTGCACAAACAACTAAAGGGTGAGATTCCTCTTAAAAACATCAGAATATACATATGCACTAGATTTGAAGATAAATGAGGAAATCTGCTGACAGCTTCAACCTCGTTGGACTTACTTGACTGTAGCAGCTGTAGTGTAACTGGAGAGACAAATTAGGGAACTTGCGGCCCATAAAATCTGTAACCAAACTCACCGACGTCATTGGTACACAGGCAGCAGAATAACGCGCCTTCAAAAGAGGCGAGAGCCAAAGTGAATCTGCGCCACCCGACTTGCTTTTTTTATTTCTAGAAGCTACAGCGGGCTATGAAAAGACTCGGGGGTGTGTCTACTGTGTTTTTCAGGGCACCGGGAGGGGGCGTGTCCGGCCTGCTTGTTTGTGCCTGCTCACACCGCATCAGGGTCTTGCATCACCTCCCACAGTTCAACGTCTGATGAAATATCCAGCAATCTGATAGAAAATGGTAATCAGCTGATAACTATGGCTGATCAATTTGCAAGATCATCATGGCTATTAATCATTCATTCACCCAATCTTGGAATTGCATAAGAAGCAAAAGCAAAGGTCCTTTAAAATATTTATTTAAGATATTTCGTGTTGGAAAATAGTGCCCCACTGTCTTTGAATTGAGTGTTTCTGTGCTGCTGCGGGTCTACAGCCATTACGAAGAAGAAAGGACTCAACATTACCTGTGCGGCTCGCAGCAGCTCGGTTGCTCTCCCCCGCACCTCCTGCAGCGGACACGATCGGGACAGCCGAAGCAGATGAAGGAGTGTTTGTTTACTCAGCCGTGCCGGTCCGGTCCGGTCCAGTCCCAAACACAGCAGAACCCCTTGACTCAGCTCGTCTAGAGCAGCCGCTCGCTCGTCCTCGTCCCTGCTGCAAAGCCGTGCTAAGCTTTTGACAGTCGGGCCAACATCGGGCTCTGACTCGGACTGGTGGCGACATGAGCGGCCAGGGTCAGACGCTCGTCCCGGTGTGTTTTCCCCATTAGCCTGACAGGTGGAGCCTGTCACGGGATTACTGGCCATCTCTCGTGTTGGTCCCGAAGCACCTGGGTCACCTGACGTTCCTGCTAGCTAACGTTAGCTTGATCCAAATCTACCAGGTGTCCGTCGCCTGTCTCCGTTCACTGCGCAATCATCACCCACAAATCATTAACGCCGGAGGACCGCCTTCAAAGCTCTCTCACTACCCGGCTACCTGAGCGCAAAGCCAGTCTGCCCATTAGCTCGCTACGCTAGCCTAGCAATCAGATGCTGTAAACTTGTTTCAACAGCGGGTCTGACGACGATTCAATGGTTAAAAAAACACACACTGTGAGCCAGTGGTCTGTGTTTGGACACCCAGAATAAAGTACACTCTATTTTAAAGTTTAAAATGTTTTCATAAGGCATCTAAATGTTATTTTCTTTACAGACTTCAGTCGCTGGTTTCGTTCAGCTGTTGTTTTTTTTCCTCCTGTGCGCACGAAACTTTTCACTAATGAGCTGCGGGTGCACTATGGGTGCACTTGTGCCGCGTTCCAGACTGCTCGGAATTGGGAAATGTTGAAATATCCAACTTCTGACCTCAAAGCCTTTAAGGTGCATGGTGGTGCATGACGCCAAATCTAAACAATAAACATGGCTGACCGTGACAAACTGATGTTTCTTTAGTTTATGCACAGTTAAATCCTCAGCAGTGCACTTGGTGTTAATTTAAAGGATGGCCATTTTATTAAAAACAAGTGCGTTAACTGTGTATCCTTCTAGCTACATCAGTTGGTAATCCTCTAAAGTCAGCAAAAGTTGTAGGCTATATTTCCAAATGTTTTCACATTTCTGGGCAAACATTTTCTTGAATAACGTTTGGGAAGAGAAGATGACTTTCAGAGAGTGTTTCCTGTAACCGGCTACCCAATAACATTGACAAAATATTTCTATATCAATTTACATGCAGAACAAGTTTTACTATTTGATACTAGTATGTATTATTTTAAATGAATACTTTACCTTTCAGATTATGTTCAACCATTTACAATGTGTGCTTCCATGGGAGCTGCCATTGTTGTGTGACGTCATTCAGCTGCTACTCGTGAGGTCGGGGTACATATTTTTTATCCGAGTTCACAAGTAGGAAATCCGACTTCAAATGGCGTTCCATAGTACTTTTTATATTTGGAGGTCGGAAATTTCCCGATTCCGAGTTGCCTGGAACGCAACATAACTCCTCAATTCTAAACACTACCATTTCACCTGTAGCATTGTGCTGGTTTCGCTTATATCCTGTGTTGCCGATTTACTGGTTGTATTTCTTTTTAAAATCAGTTATGAACTTCTGCATTTAATTGTATGTTACCACGTTATGCTTATTGAACATTGGTAAATAATAAAATATAAAAACTGTTGCACATATATACTTTAAAGGTACAGTTTAGATGACCAAGTATTTACTTTTATTGCCCTTTAAACTATTTATTTATTAATCACTTAATTATGTATCCTGTACAATATCAACACTGATGGTGAATGCCCATCATTCTTACTAGTGTCTAAGGCAATGCCTTAAACTTGTCCTGCCATTCGTTTCACAATATGAAACCACAAAAGGCAGAAAATGTAGCGTCCATAATGCTGTAAACAGCAGATATGTGTTGTTACAACAAATCAAGATCAGGGGCTATGATTAATTTTGTGTCACGATGATTGAATGATTAGTTGATTTCCACACTAAATTACTTCGATTGCAGCACTCAGGAGTTAACGTTTTCTTGACAGGTATCCCACAAATCCACAATAAAGTATGGATCCAACTAATCATTGCCATCTGGGACAAATTTCAGTACTTCAAAGACTTCAGGTGGAATTAAAAGTGCAGAAATCTTTGCCACTGAAGTGAAACTGTTCACCGTTTCACCTATCTTGAACACCTTGAACTTGAACACCTATCAAGTCCTTGTGGTCCTTGCAGCCCACATTTTGGAGCCGAAGACCAAAGGAACATTCTGTGTACTTTTATACTTACTTTTATTTATTTAACAACTAAAACTCTGTAAAATAATTGTTTTGTTTCTGTGTGTGCATTTGTGTCTGTGATGGTAATTTTGAATACAATAGTTTCACAGTTTATATGTACTTCCTGAATGACCTTTATTTAGGAAAATTAAAAAAAACATCAATGATGTACCCATTATCAGACATATCTTATATTAATTTTTCCTGTGTGTGTGTGTGTGTGTGTATTCACACCATATATAATATGTGTGTGGGAGTATGAGAAGAAAGCTGAAGCCTTCAGATATAAGAGGACAGAGAGGGAAAGATGATAGTGACAGACATAAACAAAGAAGTGAGGGTGATGTGCTGATCCGTTTGACATGACAAGACACAGTATCTATGCCGTGAGGGGAAATTCAACACTGTGGCAGCAACAAAGAAAAACCCTTCAGTGTACCGTTTCCCTATGAGGGAAGACTTTTATTAACAAACGCACAGACTGGCTATGGGAAGATGACCTTCAGAGCGCGCGCGCGCACACACACACACACACACACACACACACACACACAAAGGTGTGGTCCCCATGGCAACTGGCACTTCGTGTCCCAGGAGACCCAAGGAAAGAAGAGGTAAGACCAAGAGAGGATGGGGCAGAGGTGGTTGGGGAGAGCTCAGGATACAAGCAGAGGTCAGGGTTCACACACACACACACACAGCAGTTCCTCATCAGCATTTTACAGGAAGTAAAAATTATATGTGTGTGTGTTTCTGTGTGTACGTGGGTGGGTGTGCAGATGTATCGGGAAGAGGGGTGTGTGAGTCCTCAGACGATTTTGTTCTCCAGCAAGGCGATCCTCTTCGACATACTCTCTAGTGAGATTTTGTCAAGAACAACAACAATGCAATGCATAATATGACAGAGACATTAACACCCCCCCTCCCAACATCATATTCTCACACCATTTCACTCGTTGCAAAGGATATATTTTTTTGTTAGTGCCTGTAGGGCATCTTCTACTTTCTTCTGGAACTTTACGAGGGAATTGCACTGGCAAGGGTCCTCATCTGTGGGAACAGAAATCACAAGTTCAATATATAGTATGTATAGTGAAATAATAATATAAGTAAGTATTTTAATGTCTGTATTTAATCATCATGTGTGACCTTTACAGATGTTAATCTGCAGCTTCTTGGCGATCTGGGTCATAGTCTTGAAGTCAGCAGTGTAGAAGTAGTGCTCTGCAGTCGGCTCAGAGGCAATCTCCTTCAGCTCATCCTCCACTGCGTTGCCCACTCCAACAGCATACATCTTGAAACCTGTAACATAATCACACACAGGTTTCCCTCATCACACTAATAAAAGTAGATTTTGTACTTTTACTCCATCCACGCATTAAGGAGTAATCTATCCTCTCCCTCTCACCTTGCTCCTTGCACTTCTTGGCGGCATCTCCAATGTAGTCCTGGCTGCGTCCGTCGGTGAAGACAATGCCCACCTTGGGGACTCCAGGCCGGGTGCCCTGACCGGGGGCAAAGCTATTCTCTGCCAGAAAGCGGAGGGCCTGGCCTGTCATGGTTCCCCTCTCCATGTAGTCCATCTTCTTCACAGCATCCTTCAGGTCTTTCTTGTTGTTGTAGCGGCCCAGGGGGAACTCCTGCAGGAGGGAGATGGAAAACGTGATGTTGATACGGAAGAGAAGGAAACTGATTATTAGGAGACACTAAATGCCAAATGAAGACACGTACCTGTCTAACTGAGCTGGAGTACTGCACTAGTCCAACATGAGCCTTGGTTTCAGAAATATCCAGTTTATCGATGATCTGGTTGATCCACTTCTTGACTAGCTCAAAGTTCTCAGGACGGACACTCTTAGATCCATCGATCAGGAACACCACATCTGTCGCCGAGTTGCTGCAAGCTGGTGATGTCAGACACAGAACGGGGCATATTACTTTGGGAGCACAGTGACCGTGCTTGGACGAATACCTTCATTCCCACACACTCACCGCTGCAGCTGCGACCATCGTCCTTGAGGGTAAAACCATCTTTGCAGGCACACTTGTATGATCCGGGGCTGCTGATGCATACCTGCTCACAGTCATGATCCCCAGTGGCACACAGGTCCGACACTGTGTGTGTGCGTGCATGCAGTACACACACACACACAGTAGAATATATGTTGAGGCACATACACACACACAGGGGGGGAGGGGGGTGGTCGGGGTTAGGAGGAGAGAATGAAACTATGTCAGTTTGAAAATGGGAAACTCTAGCATTGATTTTTAATGATCCACTGCGACCTGCAGTTGACCTGAACAATTTATACTTTGAGTGGATGATGCATGAATCCAGTGGATCCTTAAAACAAACAGGTGGAAAAGATTGGAGCAGCCTCAAATAAAGAAGATCCGTTGGTGTGTTTCTAAACGTGAGGCACAGGCTCGTCCAATAACAATCCAACACTGCGGTCATGCAGCTCTGCCCTTGGATGAAAACATCTGCAGCGAGACTGGCTGCTGCAAAGTGAGTGGCAGACAGCAGCCAAAACTGCCGCAGACAGGGAGAGCTAAAGGGCATCACTAATTGGACGTTTAATGATTGTCACTAATGGATCGGTAATTACAGAGAAATCAGTCTCGCCTCTCGGTTATGTGAGAGTTGACTGAAGAACAGGAGTGAATTTCGTTCCAAAAGGTTGTTCCTGCCCTAATGCCCTCTTGCACTGGGGATATTTAATGAGATTAATGGTTGAATGATTATACTGTAGTCGTGTTGAGGCAGAGTGGAGGACAAAAGGGAGAGAACAATACATTGGAATGAAAAGATGACAGTCCTGACACCTTACCCTCAGTATAGGGGGGCCAGCAGACAGCTCTCTCCCCAGGCATGGTGGATAATGATGATGACCCACACAGTGACCGTAATTCTTTGCAGCCATCTTTTTCATTTTCCATCACTAAGGACTGATCCCTGTTTTCTCTGTCCCCCCTAACGTTAAACAATAATCATCTTTCCTTCTTCTTCTCCCACTTCCTCTTCTCTCGACCTCCTCCCATCTTACCACAGAAGGCCTCCTGGAACTTCTTGGTGAGCTTCTCGATGACGCTGTAGCTCTCCACGTAGTCCACATGGTCATCCAGAGGATCACTGGCCATCTGCTTCAGGGTGCTCATGTCAACGCGTCCCACGCCGATGGCAAAAATCTCAATACCAGCATCCCTCGCACGCTGAGCCACATCCTTCACGTTGTCCTGGGGACGCCCGTCTGTCACAATAATGGCAACCTTTGAAGGAAGAGGAGCAAAATTAGATAAAAAATGATGATCATAATTATGTAACATGTTGAATTCCGTGGGTGAATGCATGTAAATATGTGTCTGACCTTGTTGATATCAGGAGATTTGACACGAGCGCCCTCGCTCTCACTGAAGGCCACATTCAGGGCAAACTGGATGGAAAGACCGGTCATTGTTCCAGTGGACAGCGGCTCGATC